GCATATCACAGTAGTTGTCACATTGGGTCTCATAAACACACCTTATTTATGGTGTTAAATAGATTTTGATTATCAAAAACACACAAGTTTATTTCCAACTTGTATAATGTTCTATAGGTCAACATAAGGAAGTATATACTTTACAAGATGGTATAGGCAGTCCAATAATATCGCTAGCCTATTAATAACGTTTTAGACACGAATATTATAATGACATAACATGTCATACAACGTAATGATTATTTTACAGCCTTTATTATTTTTTAGACGTCAATGCAAACAGGCTTATAAAACTGCATTTGTAACATGCATTGCAACTTCTAATTGGATAATCATAACGTTTATATAAACAAAACACACGGCTGCTGTCAATTTACGAAGTAAATTCAGGTCTTTCAAAAATAAAGGAATTTTGCTGTACTATCAATTCGTTATAAAGATTCTTGACAGGTTATATGATATATATATATAAACGGTTATTTGCAAGATAAACTTCGCCCAGCGAAATGGGTTACGTACTGTACAACCGTTTATATAGGGTCATATAACCCGCCATATAAAAGACTTTATAGCTAACAGTTTACTTTATCAAGCCACTCAAAGATTACTTCATACCATTAACGCTAGCTGGCTGACTTTATAACCTATGTGTTAAGGAATATTTTAGCGTTAGAAATTTTTTTTTGTATATACACAATAAAAAAGTCCTGGTAAAATTTTTAGAACACATTTGGTTTTCAGTCCTTTAATGCAAATATATAAGACTCACAACTGAATAAACCAAGCTACACACCGTTTCCGGTATTGTCTTAAATAACTCTGGGAAATCAACCTGAATGGTAATAGCGATAAGTATTTTTTATGGAGATCTTTCCTTGGATAAAAATGAAATAAAACATTTTTTAAAGTTGATTTAATAGCATTGTACAAATAATTCAATACAAAAGAAATAAATGTGAATACACAAGTTCACGCAGAAGAAATTTCTATTTAATATGGCAGGAGCCACTATGACCGTTTTAAATTTACAGATTTTCATTATAAACAATTCAATTTTTTTTGTAAAAATTGAGACAGTTAGTAATGGGACAATTTTCTGACATATCGACTTTTTCAATTAAAACGGTAAAATGATAATTAATAATAATAATACAATGTAGCACGTAATAACGCTTTGTAGTTCATTAGTTGTAATTCCCCAGAGCTAAATCCGTAGCATACCGGAAAACGGTGTTTTCGAAAAGGTCAATACCCTGCTGCGCACTCTATACTTATAACAAAACGTCTAAATCCAGAAAAAATAAACCTTTTGTTACATTTTGCTAAAACCTTTAATATTTAAGTTATGTTTTGAAACGCTTTAAATATCTACAAACTTCTAACATTCAACAAACACGATATTCTATTTTGAAAATTGGCTTTGTTTTGAGCTACTATTTCTAACCAGTTGTGTGCTTTAACTGATTAAAATATTGCCACAAATATAAGTATTAACAGCAGTTAACATTATTTATAGGTTGAAATTTAAGAAAACAATCCAATGCATGCAGTTGACGTACATGACAATATAAGCTTTATGTTTATAAGACATTTTCCAAAAACCTTTTCTTTAGAAAAGATTTTGTGCACAAAGACGCGGTCCATTCACGAGAGTAACATATATGATACGTCTAAATCAATTAACGATTTTTCAATTTCAAAGTAATCAAGATCACACAATGCTTGTTTCAAAGTATTGATATCAATCAAGAAACAGGAGTGTGAAATCAGATTTTTTTCCCAACTGATTTTGATTCATTTTCTCATTGAATGATATCAAAAAATGTTTTGCTAAACGATTTTAATAGAAAAATAAATAAAGAAAGACCAGTTTTCATGGCAATGCATAGAAGGCGAACAAACCTATTTAAAAGTGAATGGAGATAGAGCGATAATATCCGCAGAGCAACAGATGAATAAATGTATTTACAACATTGTAAGACAATTCATAGATTTTGTTTATGTTTGTTGTATAGCTACATAAAAGTTTCAGTATACTATAATTATGCTGTGGAATTGTCAAAAAATGCTTTTACTGTCTATTGTGCAGAATGTAATACTTTAAAATGAATATATGAATAAAAATGTATTGTGCTCGGACGATCCCAAGATTTGATAAACTTTAAAATTAGTGTACTCAGTCAATGAACCAGTAAAGAAGATCATCAATGTTTTAATTATCATATAGGAAATACCAATTTAAAATTTCTTATGATAAACCTGACCGAAAAGGGTATATAATGTAAATTATTTTTTATGACAGGATTTTATTGATCTCGTTTATTATATCGGTCTGCCAGTTAACAATTCCACTATTTCGAATTAACAGGAAATAAATTGATATGACAGTCTACGAGTACACGAGTCCCTTTGAGCTATGAAATAATTCATCGATCATTAATAAAAGTAGAATGTCCTCATTAAGGAATATAATGGAGTTCATAGCAATATGGCATGCCATTTGTTCTATCAATAATAATCCTTTGAAGCGAACTACTTTGTTATGTCTAATTCATTGTTTTTGCTTCATTTATGCATAATATCCTTTTAAAGTAAACAAATTAAATGATTAGTTTGTGTTTCATTTAATGTTATTTATGTGTGTCAAAAATCTATTTTAAGTTGTAGAAATATCAAACATATAATTATGATAAATTAATCTTCAAATTGATATATTTTGTTTCTAAATAATGACAGTCACATTTAATTGAAATATTGGGCAAACTAATTTTACTCATACCTTAAAAATTTTATCAGCCTTTGTAACAAGTAATAATTATTGTGTTTTGTTTTTAAAAAAAAAATCATTTCATTATCTAAGCAATAGTCACACATTATAAATATTATAAAAAAGTGATAAGGAATAGCATGTTTTTGTTGAGTTTTATTTAATAGAGTTTAATTGAGAGTAGTAAAGAAAGATAATTCATCCACATTGACATTTTGTAACATTTAATTCACTCATGCATCTTGTGCCTTAACCATCTCATTATGTATTCATGATGTTCGGAACATATCGTTCTACAAGGCATCGTTTTTTGACTTGAATAAAATACCCGACAACTAAAATCGTATCCATTCTTAAAAGGTATATTCTATATTATTGATTAATACGGATATGTTTCCTAAACTTTTGTATTAATTAGCAAAGCTTTTATTACCCGTGATTTTGTTCTCCTGAAAATTCTGCTAATCAGAGCTAGCCTTTTACGTAAAAGCTTTTGTCGTCTTCGTCGCTCGAGCCGTAAACAATTCAACACATGCGTGCCTTGTGTAACCCTGCTTATATAAAGTCTGCGACACTGATGGAATTGTCATTGACAGAGGCTTATGGGTGAATCGGATTTTGATACATAACAGAGAGAGAGAGAGAGAGATAGAGCTACATGCGAAAGGCATTGGAATTTTATTCAGATGTTAGATGTTGAAGCATATGGATTTTCTTGCGAGGATTAACGATATGTTAGTCAATATGACATGAAAAAAGAAACTAAATGTGTTTTCGAAAAAACAAGGACTCCAATGAATTTTGATAAATAACTTTGGTTAATGTGATTTATGAAAAGTAGCATAAACAATGTATTGGTTTTAGAGGAAAATGTATTTGTATATATTTGTAGGATTTTAATCATGAAGCGGAGAGGTATTTAATTCAGGTAAAGTAAATTGTCGAGCTTTTTATTTTATATTTAGTAATTTTGATAAATTACTATATTCATTACAAAGATCAAATGTATTTACAAATAAACTTGCAAATGTAAGTCTTAAAATACCCAATTTTTACAAGTATAAATGGAATAGATACTAAAAAATAAAATTAAAGCTATAACAAAATTCATGTCACACGCACCCTCGATCTGAAAACAATGATATTGATGTTTTACAACGTTTGTGAGGAAATAGATATTTATATCAATTACCATAGAGACGTTTGTTGGAAAAGCAGACGAATAAAGTGGCAAGATGGCTTCACAGTTTGTATTGTTATTGCTAAATCAGAACAAAAATAGTAACGTTTAAGCGAGGGTTCAGGAGTTTTGAAATATTCAGTGAATCAACGCTTTCTCGTTTCCTGTCGGCTTAATACATAACAATTTCTAACGAGCGAATTCGATTTAAGATAAAGTATTATCATATAGAAAGATTGTATTCGTTTTTTAAGTCTTTGAAAAAAGAATCTGACAAATTCTGAACTGTGTATATGCATATAAATGTTAATCACTAATTTTGTATATTAATTTTATAGCATATTAATTTGGTCGTCACTTATTTCATTACCATGAGCACAATTGCCATAATAAAACGCCGCCATGTTAAAAGACAGGCATAACATTACAACATTCGAAATATTTACTGTTTGAAATAGGATGAGAAAAAATACACTAAAAATGAAAAATCTATTATTTAGTTTTTTGAAAATATATTGAATTCTAACATTGTTTTTTTTTTTTTTTCAATGTTTAAATTAATTGCTTTTGAAATGTGTAGGAAACCTGCAAAAAAAAAGAGAGATAGAAAAGGCTCAGCAGTGAGGTATCAAGTCGTGTGCCGAAATACGGTACATTGGACACATAAGCATATTTTATTGTATATTATTACTTACTGTTGCTGGCGGGTTCTACGTGAGAATATAGCCTGAATGAGATAAATATAACAGGTAGGTTTATATCTATGTCCTAAAGGCTATATACTAACGTATATCCCGTCAGTACTTTTACTTGCATAACGAACTTATAATAACGCAAATTGTTAATGACAACAAGTTCATAAGAAAGCCCAACAACTTAAGACTGTTTTTAAAAACGCGCAAAGAAAGAAGCACGTAAACAACGGCCTCATTACCATTACTCAATAAAAAGTAATTCGAGTAAAGTTACCATTGCGGTGTACCTCAACTATTTAATGAAGTTATGACATTTGAATCAACAAATATACCATAAAAACAAAACACAATGAAAAAAAGAAACTACATGTGTTTTCAAAAAAACAAGGACTCCAATGAATTTTGATAAATAACTTTGGTTAATGTGATTTATGAAAAGTAGCATAAACAATGTATTGGTTTTAGAGGAAAATGTATTTGTATATATTTGTAGGATTTTAATCATGAAGCGGAGAGGTATTTAATTCAGGTAAAGTAAATTGTCGAGCTTTTTATTTTATATTTAGTAATTTTGATAAATTACTATATTCATTACAAAGATCAAATGTATTTACAAATAAACTTGCAAATGTAAGTCTTAAAATACCCAATTTTTACAAGTATAAATGGAATAGATACTAAAAAATAAAATTAAAGCTATAACAAAATTCATGTCACACGCACCCTCGATCTGAAAACAATGATTATTGATGTTTTACAACGTTTGTGAGGAAATAGATATTTATATCAATTACCATAGAGACGTTTGTTGGAAAAGCAGACGAATAAAGTGGCAAGATGGCTTCACAGTTTGTATTGTTATTGCTAAATCAGAACAAAAATAGTAACGTTTAAGCGAGGGTTCAGGAGTTTTGAAATATTCAGTGAATCAACGCTTTCTCGTTTCCTGTCGGCTTAATACATAACAATTTCTAACGAGCGAATTCGATTTAAGATAAAGTATTATCATATAGAAAGATTGTATTCGTTTTTTAAGTCTTTGAAAAAAGAATCTGACAAATTCTGAACTGTGTATATGCATATAAATGTTAATCACTAATTTTGTATATTAATTTTATAGCATATTAATTTGGTCGTCACTTATTTCATTACCATGAGCACAATTGCCATAATAAAACGCCGCCATGTTAAAAGACAGGCATAACATTACAACATTCGAAATATTTACTGTTTGAAATAGGATGAGAAAAAATACACTAAAAATGAAAAATCTATTATTTAGTTTTTGAAAATATATTGAATTCTAACATTGTTTTTTTTTTTTTTCAATGTTTAAATTAATTGCTTTGAAATGTGTAGGAAACCTGCAAAAAAGAGAGATAGAAAAGGCTCAGCAGTGAGGTATCAAGTCGTGTGCCGAAATACGGTACATTGGACACATAAGCATATTTTATTGTATATTATTACTTACTGTTGCTGGCGGGTTCTACGTGAGAATATAGCCTGAATGAGATAAATATAACAGGTAGGTTTATATCTATGTCCTAAAGGCTATATACTAACGTATATCCCGTCAGTACTTTTACTTGCATAACGAACTTATAATAACGCAAATTGTTAATGACAACAAGTTCATAAGAAAGCCCAACAACTTAAGACTGTTTTTAAAAACGCGCAAAGAAAGAAGCACGTAAACAACGGCCTCATTACCATTACTCAATAAAAAGTAATTCGAGTAAAGTTACCATTGCGGTGTACCTCAACTATTTAATGAAGTTATGACATTTGAATCAACAAATATACCATAAAAACAAAACACAATGAAAAAACCTACGCACTAATAACCGCCAGAGATGTAGAAAATACATTGTTATTTGTGCGTGCTTCCGTTCTATAAAGTATATACGATAAAGTTCACAAAGTGGTTGAGCCAATCAGAATTTGAGAAATGTATTTGGATTATTCAAAACGTAATATAATTGTTATGCAACAACAAAGTTATCTAAATTTAAAATGCTACGAAATCATAAACAAAAGCGAATATCACCAATGCGATAATATTGTCATTGCGTTTAAAAAGTCAAAACATCAATCAAAGATCTTATATTAAAATGAGTTTTACATAAAGAATCAATTGTATGATCACATAATTCTCAAAGGACATCGGAGTCTATAAACCCATTGTTTATTTGTTGCCTGTTTCATATGATATTTTATTACCGTGAAACGACCGTTTGAGACAATAATTAAATAAAGACTTTCTCGAGAAAAACTTCTATGGATGACTATTGTTTTTATTGTGTCAAACTTTATTGGTTCTTGTATGTTCTTTGTTGATTCTATTATCAAAGTTAAACACCTTGTTTATCTGCCAATGTCATACTATCATTCATTCACTTGGTAAGCTTTAGTTTCCTTTCGAGAAAGGTTAGTTTTAGACACAGAATCTATAAATGTCATAATTCTGTTGGCTTTCCATACTGTATTTTGAAGACAAACCACGAGTAAATCCACATACCGCCCGTAAGCTAGCTTTATAGCCTTCTTATATGAAAAAAAAATCCAAAGTCCCTGTCGAGATTAAAACCCCAATTGGTGAAGGGAAATGTTTGGGAGCAGACAGTCGATACCACTTGCCCACCTACGTAAGCTTATAAACATAGATACCAATTTTTTTATAACAACTTCAATCGTTAAATAAAATGCCTAGATCGGAATAAAATGCAGAAAAAAACATTAAAGTGATTATTGGCGTACACAGTGTCACATTTATTGAATTTCATGGCAAGCTAATCAAACTCGTATTGCCCCGAGAGACTGAACAAGTTTCATCAGCCGAATATTTTCACTAAGCGCATAATTTATATTAAACTTTGTAAAGCTCTGTCAATATACTAGTAATAAACATTATATTCTACATAAACAAATACTAGTACTATATATAATAGGTGACGTATTTTATTATCAAAAAGAGTAAAATCGATTCATTTTACCATGGCAATATATTATACATAAGTGTGGATATTAACGTAACATGATAGTCTTTTATTGTTGTTAAGAACAGACTATTGATCCGACAAACCTACAGTTTCCCTTTTAATTTCCTCTGAGCAATATGATCCTATCCATTGATGTAAAATCATAATCTTTTATGTCATCATTAGAGATTTAATGCACTTCTCATTAAAGTTGCTCATGCACGTTTTATATCATAATTAAATTCCAACGTCCAGAATACACATAAAATACTGCGTTACAATGCACGTTTATATGAATCAGAATTAAAATGTTTCATATTTGGTTGACAAGCTCCATAGGTTACTCCGTGTATCCTGTTAGTATTTCCCTCATGCACCCCAGTCTCGGGATAGATTTTTTCGTAGATGTAAAAGCTGCTTTAGTTTTCATTTATAAAGACCCCATACTTTTTAGATTCTTTTTTAAGTTTGACAATGATACCTATATTATTTGTTAATTACTTATCATATTATCACATGTATGTTTCAGTTATTAATAACTGAATGGCAATTTTTTTAAACACGTTTTTATAAAAAATGAAGTAAAAATAATCAAAGATAAAATGTGATGGAAAATAGCGTGCGAATAACAGTAATTAAGTAATTCCAAAGTTATTTTTAAATGCATGATCTATATATAGTGCTATTGCATCTGCCGCCATACATATTCAAATGTCGAATCTCGATGAAGCATTTACAGTTTATTCCGTAGGTTTCAGCAGATGCTAATGCACAAGAAAGTTGAACAAGTGCTAAATGTTGCATAAATGTATGCGTCTTATCTGGTAATTCAGGGTTCCGTTTTATGTTTTGTTTTACTATAAGGACACCGGCATTGTCATGCCTTTTCACGTGTTAGTGCGATGTTATTTGAAAGTTTTATTTGACTATTAACTTCTATGGCCGTTATTGCAGTTAGCTAGTTTACATGGCGCTCTAGGTCACGCATGCTCGCGTTATTCTATCCGTTTATTGACATTTGCGTGCGCTGACTGTCGTGATAGATATATCTGAAATAGGTCTTTTTTCATAATAAAAGTATATCATTTATACAAGTATGAATGGCATGTCTTTAGATATCGATATTGATTTTTTACAAAAATAATCAACAGACTTGTACATAAGCACATGTGTTACTTTTCATTCTGATTAAATAAAATAAATAACAACATAAGAAGTACTGGATTTAAAGCCTGACATCATTTGAAGATAATACATTTTCCCAAAAGATTTCAGCTATTACATTAAAATGTAAAATGAAAATAGTACAAAAAAGAGAAAATCTGAAGCAACGTATTTAAATTTGTAATAACCCGTGAGTTTGTTTAGAAATATACATACACATGTATTTGAATATTATATAGTCATTAACATTAATGACTTCACAATTTGTTTTAAAAATACACGGATAAAATCATAAAAATATAAAGAATGATTTAAAAAAAAATATTCTTAACTATAACGATACATTTCTAAATTATTGTAAAATTCAAAACAAATGTAAAATAGCTATTCCAACTAATTTGGCTTCTCATTACTCTTTTCTTTTTTCAGGTAAAGAGTCCCTGTATTTTTGAACAATCAAAATGGCTTCGTCGGAGCCGGACAACGGTTATATTTATCAGGTTATGTGGTGGATCGAGAACAGAAATGACACGTCATTCGATTTTACTCAGCCTTACATTCGCAAATCTCTCAAATACGTCTATCCAATATTTATGTTCTTGTATGCGGTTGTTGGACTGGTCGGGCTCGTTGGTAACATTGCTATGGTCATTGTCATGGGAAAGCGCCGCCTATATCAGGACCCAACATTTTTCTTCCTCGGAAATATAGCATTTTCCGATCTTATAAAGTGTGTCTTCGTTTTGCCTATATCGCTAGCCAACATGTTGGTTCAGAATTGGATCTTTGGCAGCTTTCTTTGCTTTTTCTTACCTATGATCCAATTCTTTCCGATTCACGCATCAATGCTCACTTTTTTATTCATAGCGATAGATAGATACAGGGTTATTGTAAATCCTTTCAAAGCCCGAGCTCCAGCGGGTCTTTGTATAATTGGTGCTTGGGTTGGTGCTATATGCGTAGTATTACCACACGCTGTGTATATAAAATATATAGACCTCGGTGCTTTATTTGGAAAGAACTTTCGTGGCGTAGGAATTTGCTATGTGAACATGGAGCGTCACATTGAAGAATACTTCAGGGCAATGTTTGTTACATTATATGCATTGCCTCTTGCAATCATAGGTTTCCTCTATGTTAAGATTTCAGCAGAGCTTAAGTCAAAAGAAACAGCCTCGACTGTCGTTCATTACAGTATATCAAACGGTAACATTAGCAACCGTGCATCCAGAAGTGAGGAGAGTACACCAAAAGTCACATGGGCACATGACTCAGAGCAAAGACATATTGAAACGGCCCGCCAAAAAGAATACGCGGATCGAGCTACTCAAGATAGCGACGATGATCTTGACCTTGCCAAAGAAAAGATAACTCAAAATTATCTTATTTCCATGGTTACGATTTTCGCCATGTGTTGGTGCCCAATGAACATTCTTATTCTTGTGCATTATTTCGTACATGAAGCGGCAGAGGACGTTTCTGGACATTTTGACATTACATTCATTACTTTTGCCTGGTTTGGGTATCTCTCAACTTGCGTCAATCCAATATTATTTGCCTCATGGTACATGCCTTCTTCGACAAAAGACAGATTAAAGGGCTACTTCCGGTTCAGTAATAGGAGACGAAGTTCATCTCAGGTTTGATTTATATTTCTTTTTCCATAAAATTCCTCAAATTGCTTTATTTTTAGTGTCTTGTTTCATTTGTTACACAGTTATATTTGATCATAAAGCAAAATCAACTTTTTTGTTAAATCTTAATTCAGTCTGATAAAAAGATTTTATGGAAGCAAAATAGAATTTTGTTTGCATTTTTATGCCTTTATGACAATTTATACCACATTCTTTTTGTAGAAAATGAAAGAAAACTTTGTGCATGAATAAATAGTGTTTACACACTCACTGAGTTTAATATTATTAAAAGTTTATGTTAATATTAAATCGTCATCATTTAGGAATCAAAACATAACAATAAGTGTTTTTCAGATTCGTATTTCATTCCATTGTGTATATTTTGCAATAAAAAATTCCAGACAAGTGTTCATTAAACAAGTATCATGTTAGAATTTAGAAAACTGAATTATACTCCCTTTTGCATTTCTTTTTATGATTGTATATTCTACTGCGGATGTGCCTTAAAGAATGAAAAGACAATCGATATTTCACAAGTGGTCATTTATCACATACCCGTTCCAAGAAGCACTAAATGATAGTGTAACACTATATGCGCGTCAATAAAAAAGTGGTTTTTACTGTAAACAGTTCTTATTTTTGATATGTGATAAATGGAATATTATATCCGTGTTGGTAAATAAATTTATTAGAATTGTTCTGTAAAATAATATTATGTTTTCCAGACGCCCGCATAATATATTTTTTTTCAACTCGTTTAATAAAGTCAGTAATGAACCTTCATTAAACATATATCCTCTTTTGATGTATACCGATAATAGATAGCCAACCTACTTGATGCTTACTATTGAAAAATTATTACAACCGTCTCTCATTTTTTGTATAGATCAGCCGTACTGAAGTTTCAGAATCATTCGTCCTTCCTGCGACACCATCCCCTAGAGAGCATAGAAAGTCATTACGTTCAGCCACACCGTCGCCAAGAGTGCACAAGAAGACAGTGCGCGTTCAGCTTAAAGCCCCGGAGCTGTCACCATATCACAATGCCGTGTAGACAACATTTTATATTGTCATGTTTTGTTATTATGCTGGTCAGTGGCAGTTGTTAAAGCTATTTTGTAAATTGTTTAAAATAAAGAAGTATTGTTTGTGAACTTTTGTTAACGTTAATGAGCAACTTTAAAAAATAATGCTCGACACACCGTTCTCTATGTTTTGTACTTCGTTTTTCATTTAATTGTTTGTCGTTCCAACAAATACAACAACTATACTTACTTTCGGGAATAACTTTTATCAAGTCATGGTATCGAGATAATTTAGAACAACATTAAAAAGACATATACTCAAACATATAATCAAAAAATTTCTAAAATTCCTACAGTGACTTCTTTGATGTTGCACGTATTCATTTTCATTCATTTACAGACTCAATCAAACCGAGTCTGCAATTCTCTTGTAAATTTGTTGTGATAAATGCTTCCGAGGGATCACATTGTTTCTAGATTTCTATATTACCAGTCATCGGCATACTGTTATGCATTGAAAGAAGCACATACTCTTTATGACATAATGAGACTAGTATAATAACAGTATTCTTTCCAATCGAGAAACTTCGTTAATGTTCATTGGAAACCAATGATGATGAGATAATTGTTTTTCAGTGTATTCAGTCTGATTCATTTTGTCGCGGACACGCAAGGGATGTTCTTAAATTATTGCAACATTCGATTTTTTATTAAAAAGTTAGTTTGATTATTTTAACTTGCCCTGTCATTCATAATATTCGTTATACGCTTTCATACATTTTTTGTAATATATCAATGCATTTTAAAACAAAGTTCATACATTGTATTGGAAACTCTTATTAGATACTGATAAATTTCGGCCCCAAGAATGTTTCTTTCAAGATCGGTAATATTTCAGTTTTGGGAATTATAAACATAAGGATGCAAGAAGATGGTTATATTTACAAACGCCAACAAATTTGGTCACAATGTGTGCTTACTGAAGTTACCTTACTATTTTCTTGGAACAGCATTTCAATAAAAATTGCTTCGTTTGACTTTAAAAATAAACCTAAGTCTCATCACAAGTAGCAAAAAAAGGAGAAAAGCATTTTAGATAACTTAATGACAGAGAGAGAATGTTCTAGATAACTTTATGAATACTTTGACTATTTTGCTTTTACTTATTGCATATGCTTAAGCAAATGGTGGTTTCCAATTTGCAATCATTTATCTCGGCTAAAAAAATAATAATAAAAAAACAAAAAAAAAACAAAACAAAACAACAACAAAAAAAAACAAAAAAACAAAAACAACAACAAAAAATGGGATCGTATTTCTCAGGTATTAGGGGCTGAATACTTTGAAAACAATGTACACTGCACGAATGTTAGTGAAATTGTGAGCGAGATATTTTCAAATGATATGCTTCAATGTTTATTATATTGACTCGAGGTAGATTTTTAGAAATAATATCGGTCACAGCGGTGTTTATCGTCTATTTAACACCCGCGTGGAGTTTTGATGCGAAGAAAATGACCTAAAGGCTGTAGTGTTAACGCCTGTAAAAGATAAACCAATCTACGTCAATTCGTTTCATCCTCTTTATGACATAATTCTGGTGCCTTTAGTTGCATACTGGATGACGTAATAAAGTTGCCGACGAAAGGTCATATAAATTATATCCAGTGATTGGCGTCCGCGCCGAAGCGCGGCGCCCTTATGGAATGAAATCAGATTTTGTGAATGGGTGACAGCAACTTCTCGAGCCTTTTACTATGACCACATAATAAAAGCCGATCATTCCGATCGGTATGAGGGTGCTTGATTAAAAAAAATGTCTCGATATGAACAATGAATAGCGAACTGGAGAATTTCACAATGCATGAAATAACCTTTTCCGTCTCTTCGTTTTTTTTTATTTATCATTTTGTAGTACACAGTGGGTTGAAATATAATGATGAGTTGATGACCTAAACATTCCGAAAATCTATTTATAGAGGGATGTACTGCTATCGGTAATTCCCGGTCTCTCCCGGTCTATTTTGACCGGGATTTACTAGTGACCGGCGAATAGTATCCGGTCTCTCACGGTTTTGGAGTAGATGTTTGATATCGTTACAGAACAGAACAAATATTTTACAGATAAATAAGCTTTTTTCCATAATGAATGTGTGTCACTTAGTTTGGTTACAATAATTAATAAACACAGATGAACTCATTATTATACATAACATACAATTCGAAAAAAAACACCAACAACAACAATAGCATGTTTCATTTTATCTTTATGAGATAAAAACAATAAATATGTGCAATAATTGAGCAAAAGGTACATTTTTACGGTATTAATATGACACTATCAACTTTGAAACATTTTATTTAATTTGTTATTCGTGTTTAGTAAAGATGCCGAGGAATTATTCAAAGTTACAAATTAGATTTTATGAATTATTCAATTGATTGATAATTTAAAAAATGATAAAGAAAAATACAAATGTACATGTACATTGTTTAAGAATAAACAATACATTGTATTATATATTGAAAGATTAAGAATAATTTACTGCCTATTTCCAGTTAAGTTTTGATTTATAATCGTCGGTCAATATGACAATTGAATTCTTAAAATTTATTTTACAATTTTGATAAAAAAAAGAGTAGTAAACGTAAAAACTCAGTATTAAAATAGCACATAAAACACAAAAAAGAGAGGAAAACAATATTCATAAAATCTTCATTTTTTATATTAAAATAGATAATTATTACAATTATTGTATAATAAGCAATTATGCTCAACATGATCAACATGGTAATATAACAAGTGTCATATTTTTACTAAGTGTGAACAGATACCTTAATAGGGGGTCTTCGCTAATAGCGATAACATTATAACAATTCCACAAGGTGTTGATCATGCGTTACACATATGAATTATAAATGAACGTAAACATGTATATCCGTTGCTATTTACAATCACGATCATAAAGAAATAACAAGTAATATTCTAATCTCTAGCATGCCAATCAAAGTTCATAATGAACAATGTCTTTCGTCCGTTCATTCTGGTATAAACAAATTAACCATTGAAAAGTTTATAAGAATATCTTGTCATCATATGTCTACTAGTTCATCTTCACTTTCTGCATTTCTTGCTTGGACGCCCTTTGATGCTTTGCATCAATGCTTTTCTTGTAAAAAGCTTAGATGAAATTCAAAACCTGCCGTGTTAGTGTCTGTGAGAAAACATGTATAACAAGATGAAATGAATATTAACATCTATACATTTGTTCTTTATATTGTCTGTGTTTATCCAATTTATCATTGGAAGTACATGTAAACAATAAAATCCACAGTTTTTGGCAGTTTCACCCGGTTATTTTCTTGTTACGAGTCATGTTAGAATTATGTACACCAATTGCAATGTCGGAACTGATCAGGGTGGGTGATCACTTGACATTTTTGTTTGTGATAATGACGCGCTCATTACTCAAACATTTTCACTTATTGTTCGTTACATTTTTCAATATTTAAATAAAAACGAATATTATGTTCCAGACAAACATTGCAAATTTCAGTGTTACATTTATGTCCATTGTAGCTCTTTTTCCCCCGTTATGCTTGCAGATTTTTTCTATGCGACAAGATTTTGTATTTTCAGGAAAATATGCGGTAACAATGTGTTACATTTTTCTGCAAGAATATTTATCGGGAAAAATACAAAAGCTACAATGTTATAAAAATGGTAAAAATATGTACTAACTTAAATATTTGCCCGAATCATGTAATATATTTTTACTTTTCAAATAGTTAAAGATATAACAAAAATAATATGCGACAATTACCGGTAGCATGTGACTCGTGATAACTTTCCCTGACTGACTACGGTATTATGCAGTTCATTTAAAATGTATTACGTTTTCCTGTGTGCTATTTAAACGAAACAAAAACATTAACAACAACAAAAAAAATCGCATAAACATTATCAAACAAAATTGTCAAATGTTTATGAACTTCTTTTTGAATATTCAACAAAATATAAAATTTTCCAGTTAAATAATTACTACTTGTGATTTGGGTGCATATCTACGAGTATAGAACAAAACGAATCAATAACGGTGTTCCGATTATATCTGCACAAATTAGTGGCAATGTCTTCTGAAATCTATCATATGGTACAGAACTCTTTAATATGGTGCCCAAGCTTGTCATCATTTAATGCTGACAATCAGTGTTTCACATAAATCTTTACTTTAAGATACTTCTGCTTCAACAAAATAATGTTTGCTAATATATCGTTACAGAAGATACGAGTGCTTTTTAATTAAGTTTTCACCGCATTCAAGTTTTGCAAACCAAATTGTCAAACTTTATGATGTATTTATGCATGACACCAATGATGACATTTTGGTTAATATTCTAAATTGTCATAATCCTGATTTTGCTTCGTTTCTGACTCGGACTCTATCCAATTACATCTAAGCCTAATTATTTAGTTAACTATCAGACTTTCTCTTAGCCTTTATCATCCTTCGATGATTATTTTGCTAGATTATTTATGTTAAGTTAAACGCTCTCCAATGATGTTGTTTCTTAAAAACAAACGAGAATAAAGATCAACAAGGCAAAGGCAACATTCACATAACACAGGCCCCGACACACCAACCTACCACAACAGGGCTATTAGAAGACACCAAACCAAAACCGGGAGTGGACATCAGGGCGGACACCTTATGTGTAAAATAATAAAAACTAAAACGGGTCTATATGAGAAATAAATGGACATAGGCTATGAGGATGAAAGGGGGGGGGGGTGGGGGTTAACTTCATTTAACTTCACATGCACGCACGTACGTACCCACACTAAATCTACATTATTAGTTTCAAGCGTTTTAAAATTGTCTTCAGTAATATTATTTTGCATTCATATCCTGGGCAACCAATGAACATGCAAATGTGTATGTATTCAACTAATTAACATCGGAATTGACATTTGCTTCAGCTATAAATTATGCTCCTCATTACACTGAACGCACTACAATCAAACGTGATCTGCAATTGTATAAACAATAATCTAGCGAAGTAATTAAGTGACCTTTTAGTCTGCTATGATGTTTACATCGATTTTCCCTACAAATGTGATCCTAATCATCTGGTTATGTCAGTGAAGTTGAATGCAACAATCTAGAATTACAATTTGTGTTGAACATTATGTTCTTTTAATAATGTTTAATTGTTGAACACTTGAAAATAAATTAGTTATATTGGTGCTAACAACACGAAAACGGTTACAACCTTTTCGGGAATCAACCATAATAATGAAACCAATAATATTTTACTGTTGATAAATTTTATAAAAACATTTCATAAGATTTATACCCTTTAAGATACAACCATAT